GTTTTATTTTCCGAAAAACCTTCTGGTTTTGGGTTTCCATGAAATTTTCCCAAAAAGGAGCCCCCCCCCCCCCCCCCTGTTTTTTTTCTTTTTTTTCCTTCTTCCCCTCCCTTGCTTTTGCCTCACCTGAGACACAAGGGGGACGTCAAAGGGTTCTTTTAAGGGGGGGGATGTCGCGGGAGCAGCTCCTGCCGTTTTTTGCACAGCGCGGGGTATTGCCCCCGTACCTTCCAGGGCACCCTTTGGTTTCGGGTTTGGGCGGGGAAGAAGGAGGCATCATTAGACATCACCGGGGGGGGGGGGGGGGTCTGGGGGACCGGCAGATAGGAACACGACGAATATACGAGTGAGGTTTGTATGTATTGGCATGCCAACAATAACATGTCGTGCGTGCGGTCATGCTTGCTAGCAATGCTTGGCTTTGCTACATGCGCCGCGCGGATGGAGCTTGCTGCGCATGTCGTCTTCTTTTGAACGAGAGCCCCCTACATATGCAGTCTTCGACGAGCGCAACACGAAAAATACTCGACGGGTAGCAAAAGAAAGTTACTTCTTGTATCCCGCGGAGATCCTCTTTTCTGCTGCCGTGCGTGAAAATCGGCCAGCACAGCAGCAGCGGCCAGCCGGTCTTCGCTTCGAAAACGTGTACAGACGAAACCAGCCCGCCATGCTTCCATCTGTTCCGTGGATCAATCCCCCACCGCCCCTCCCTATTCCCGCTCGTGGCCCCAAATCCCTGAGTTTTGCTAGATTATAGAAAAAATGATCAAAACGCGCGGGTGTTGTCCTGGGGTGACTTCTCTCGAGATGTTTTTTCGGCTGGCCTTATTCTGTGTAAAAGAAGGGCACCTAACCCACTAAACACTTCCTACATGTGTCACAATCCGTCACTGTCGGACAGCTCCCTCTTGGTCTTAAGGCCAGGGTTGGACTGCTGTCACAATACCTTGTCCTTTCGTGTTCAGCCCATATGGTTCTTCTACATCCCACACTGAGAGGATGACCCATGAACCTTTCGACGATTGATTCCCGCAACCTCTAACGGTGGTTACACGAGTTGTGCTATGTGGCTTGCTCGCAGTGGGTAGCATCGGTTGGGTTCGGTGGACACCAACAATCCGATGTGTGCGGCAAACTAGCCCAGAGAGAGGGATGGACGCAGCCAGCCGCGGTGTGTGTGTGTGTGTTTTCGTCTGCTCTCAACTCTTGCGAGCTAGATTTCTGAGCGTCCTATATAGCCTTCCGGTCTCTTTACCACCCACCCACACACAACAAGTATCACACACGCAGCTCGTGTGGCGAGCACGTTTTGTCAATCCTGTTGCTTTAGTGGGTGGGGAGGGATCACTGGCAAAACAACCTGATGTTAAAGGCAGAAAGTCTGTTTCTTGAGGCGGTCGGTCTTTTTGTCGCATGCTCTCGGCTCTCGCCCCCCTCAGTTTCCGTGCCTCCTATCACCCCGTGGTCTCGATCAGCCGCCACACAAAGACGCAGCACATACACACAGCTCGCGGGGGACGGCTCTACACCGGCTGCTGCTGCTGCTGCTTCACTTCGTGCAGAGAAATGACCGAAAAACCAAATCGGTGGGAAGGTACATGTATGACGCGTGGCGATCGATCCCAACGGCCTTTCCAAACTTTTTTCTTTGGCTTCATGACTCGGATGGACCTAAAAAAGATCGACTGCACCGCAAAAAATGTGGGTCGTCCTTTTCACATGCCCTTCTTCGGCGTCCTTTTTGCACAAAAAGGACAACAACTACAAAACAAAAATACTTTCCAAGAAGTGGCCTGAAAAATTTACGTCACATTTTCTTGAGGGAACGAAACCGCCGCGGAGGCTTAAGCTTGCATCTCCCTCCCGGGAGCACAGCAGTCGTACCGGGTAAGGACACGAAGAACTGCCGTCACTTCCTGCCTTAACGACACACCATGTTTCCCAGAAGTCCAGAAGCATGGTGCCTCGCAGATTTGCAAAAAAAAAAGCAATACTGGTAAAGGACACAAGACACTGCCGTCACTCCCTGCCTTAGCGACACCATGTTTCCCAGAACTCCAGAAGCGTGGTGTCTCGCAGATTGCAAAGAAAACAAAGTACTCGTACCAGTCATGGTGGTTCATACTAGGGACACGTGCCCGGTTTGAGGACACTTTCCTCGAACCAAAAAGACTGAGTGTCATTAAAGACGGGATGACTGCTATAAGGTGGAATAGCACACACCAGGTGTATCGGCTACAGGAACCCCACCGCTCTAAACAACGTTCCAAAGGTGGTAAATTACATTTACGAAGTAGATCGCTACCACCAGCGAGGGGCGAAGGGGCGTAGGATACATGTGGACATTGTTGCACGGTTTGGGTGATGCCAAGGTGGGCAGGCAAGGGGGGAGTGGGGGGGGGGGGGGGGGGGGGTAAGTGCCTCCTACAGCTTCCACGACAGAGCACAGCGTTGTTGTTGTTATTGCGGGCGTTTCACGCGGGCGTGGCGGGAGGCCCAAACAATCAGCTTGAGGGACCTTCCCTCTCTGTGGCTCGAGAGAGCAAAATGAGAGAGGCAGAGAGAGATAAGAGAAAGAGAGAGATAGTGCGACAGAGAGAGCTT